CACCAGCAGCGGCAACGTCCTCGTCGAGTCCAAAGGGCCATGTCGCAGGACCACGTCCTGTCTCCTCCCAGGACGCCGCGACGTGGAGAGTACGGCCTGTCTTCATACGGTGCGATGGTGGCTGCGGCATACGGAAGCAGCCGCCACCTCTCGGAAGAGCAGCTGCTCTCAGCGGACCGCCTCCATTCCCAGGATCCGCTGTTGCTGTCCCCAGCAATGAGGCGCGACAAGTTCCGGGAGAAGGCCATGGCGAGGGCGATGTCTCACGCTGACATGCTGATACCCACCACGCCAGTTATGGACCGCCACAAGGTGACCAAGATGTACTCTCAACCCAGTGCCTCTACTGACTCCTACAACACGCTGACGGTCAACCACCAAGTGACCACGTCTAAGAGGCAGGCGTTTGCTTCCCGACGAACACACACGGTGGACCACCTGCAGTACATTCCCGGCCACCACCACACATACCACACTGCCAGTAAGAACGAGGTAACTGTTTAACTCCGGGGTTGAAGCATTCCTGAGACCCACCCCCAACGTCGACAGAAGGATACTCAGCAGAACTGTTCAGTCTTCTCATCAAAACAACCTCCTGCATTTAAGAAAAGAGAACAAAAAAATAACTCTTCCGGCTTTTTAGCACAAGCTTTCTGTGTCATCCAGATTTTGGATAATTAGAATCAAACCCTGGCAAAGACATTTCTCTTTTAGAGCATCATAAGGGCTTTGCGCGGCGACACAAAGATCCTTCATGTCGGACATTAGACAATGTGAAGAAAATATTTTTTAAACTGGATTTGGGACTGGAAGGGAATTGTATCAACTTTATAAATATATAAATATAATATATTTACTATTTGTATTTTCAGTCCTTGTTATAGCTTTAGAGATTCTCATTAACTGATGTAAGCACTTCAGATGGTGCCTCTTGAATTGTCCCATTTCAACGATGAAGTGGATTTGTGGGTTAAAAAGCACAATTAATGACTTCCCTTTTTTTCGATTAAGTTTTCTCTTCTTCTTCTTCTACTTCTTCTTCTTCTTGTTCGGTGAATGGCCAGAACATATCAGCTTATTAGTGAAAAACGAGGCTATTTTTGTTGCATATAATAGGAGATTGTAAATAGGCTACATTAGCAGCATTAACCTAGAAAAGCTGGCCCTCCGGCATTATTTTTTTCTCCCACCTGGAATCTTTGATTCCTACTTTAAAATTTCGTTTTAGATAAGGTGAATTCCCCCAAATAGCATTATTTCCACAGATGTCGGCAAAATATGTGGATTTAATATATATGTGGGGGGTATTTTTTTCTTTTCTAACTGTGCTTGTAGCATAGAATGATTGTGTGTGAAAAAAACTTTTACCAGTGTTGACTGGCAGCTTCAGTCTGCAGAAATAAATCTACAGGTGAAAACGGAGCCTGATGGTCATTCAAATTTGCTGAATTTCCATATCCTCGCTTTGTCATCCGTAACCCCATCCATTCATAATTCTCAGTTTGTGATTGGTCAGCTGCTTCCATCTCTACATATCAAGCACTCCGTGTTAAGAAGTGCGCAGGTTGTGTAATAGTTTGTCGATGTGATGGACCAATCAGTACTAAAGAGGACATCACAATCGCCGGTCAGTGAAGCATTGATTAAAATGTTTGAGATATTTTCATTAAAGCAATGCCTTATTGTATGGATTCCCATATGCTCTTAACTGAACAATCATGCTTGTTGTCTTTGCTTTCTGTGCAATATTATTGACTATAATTTACCAGCAGAACCAGCAGCGAAAACCTATACGGTGAGAGATGTTGCAGTATATATACCTCAAAAATTCAATTGAAGAAGTCTCAAACTTTGCAGGCAAAACAACCATTAGGTATATCAATCTTCCAATTCTTATTGAAAGTTGTTTAAACTTTACTCGAGTAAGATTTATTATAAGTTTTATGGGCTTACAGGTATGTGAAAATACCGTGCTTCTGTTTTCAGTTGACCTGGGGGGTGGGGAAGGTTTTCTCGGTTGCTATATGAAGATCCAGTCCAGGAAGTGAGACAGTCGGGGTCCAGATTTTATACTATTAATAGAAGTGTGGCTGTTAGGATTTGTGTAATTCCTTCAGGGCTTGGGTTTTCTACATGGACTCGCCACAGTGTGTCATAAAGATTGCCAAAGACAGTTTTTTAAGGCAAATTTTTATTAAGTGCAGGAAAATTTAAGCATGCCATTGCACTTTTTAACTACAGGTGGAGTGTCATGCTGCTTCCTGCCAATCTAGTCCCTATTTAAGTCCCAATTCAAATCCCAAGGAAAGCCAGTTAAGCACCTCCTTTAGGAAATTGTCACATGTCCAAAAAAATAGCTTTCTCACTAAGACAAGTCACATCTTAATTTAAGCCTAGACTGAATATAAAAGATGGACGTAGCCACCAACTTAAGCATTTCTGCTGAAGCGGTGTGTCTGATGGAGAATCCAAAAACACTTTCACACCCTTTAGAAATAAACATCCTGCTAAATTAAAGATAATTTGTAACTAACAATTGAAACTATGAACTCATACAGAAAGTGTCACACATCAAGTGAGCAGTACTGATAGACTTTTATAAAATTAGTACGGAGCCCCGCAGGGGACATGGGAGAAAAAAAAATTAAGGCGGACTTTTGCGAGATCTCGCAAAACAAACTCGGGATCTCACAAAAGTTTTGCGAGATCTCGCAAAACAAACTCGAGATCTCGCAAAAGTTGAATTCCAACAATGGCGGCAGCTACTTAGTTGTAATATTACTCTTTCTGGGTCACAAAATACACTTTTAAGATATTTTGAGGCGTGAATGTAGTTGTGTAAACGTCAGATACCTGCTCGGTTTACAAGACATCACATATTTGCAAAAGTGCTCAGACGTTTTCGGAGATCTGACACCCACTAGCTCGAAGCTAACGGGAGGTCGAGACCTGCTACAGCCGGGAGGAACACCGCTTTCCCGGCACATCGTGCCTCAACCTCCCGGTCGGCTTCAAGCTGGCGGCCTCAGAAGAATGCGGCTAAAACTTTTGCGAGATCCCGAGTTTGTTTTGCGAGATCTCGCAAAAGTCCGTCTTAATTTTTTTTTCTCCCATGTCCCCTGCGGGGCTCCGTAAATTAGAGATTTAAAGCTACATCCAACTTTTATATTGTAGCTCAGTTTATGGTATAAAGGCCATAAATGACATTATGTTTTCATTAAAGGTCAGGAAATGCTCCTCAGAATAACCTTTGTATTTCTACAGACTTGCTATTTCCATTCCCAAAATGTCAGGAAATAAGAAATTGAAATCGTGTCTCTTTGTGACAACGCTCAGCAGACTGGACAAGTAAGATATCAGGAAAATTGTTGTTTCTTTAGATATTTGAGTGGTCAGCCACTGTATATACAACTTGGATACAATGTTACTTGTGATTTGGACTGTGCAATTTAAATGGAAAACTTCAAAGGAAAGCAATGACTGATTCCATTCAATTCTGTGATTATGCTCAAGTACACTCATGCATTGTTGCACGTTTTCCTTAAGTGTGCTTCATTTCTTGTCATAACAATACATTTAAAATTGATTTACGATGTGGAGCATAAAAGGTTGGCCAAATGTATCTTAAGTTCAAGAAATGTATTTCTTTGTTTTAATGTCAGATATGCATTTAATGATGTCAGTTTGAGGTTGTCTTTTTTCCAACTTTACTGTCTTTGTACACTATTTTTTTCTTCCTATATTGGGAAGCGCTTGCACAAATGAGGGCCATTTGAAGAAGGCGTGATTAATAGGCTGCTTTAGACAGATATGTGTTCATCCAACTCGCTCAACTAATTTCACAAACTTCTGCTCCTTCTTTTCACTTAATTAATAATGATGTCATCCCAAGAGCCTTTTTCTCTATGTGCAATATTTCCTGTTCATGCAGTATAGCTCTATAGCTCTATTACTCTTTTTAAAAAGTTGTGAAGTTCATTGGCTGCCATACAGGCTTTGTTGTCCTTTTTATTTAGGATTGTATTGTCTTTCATAGTCAAAGAGGAGTTTTTATAATACAGATAAATGTGGTATGAATGAAAACACGTCTATGTAACTGCACAAATAACCGGAGACTAACTTAAAGGCTTCAACAAACAAATTATGACTGTTCTTGTGCATTTTTCTGTTTGTTTACAAATTATTAAAGCAAACCATGTGTGTTGTATATATGCGTTTAATAACGTGTGCTTGTATAAGTCCAAGATAACAAAACTCTGAAACCCGTAGCGTGAACCTGGGGAGGACTTGGATATTATGCAGATGCAGAAGCACCAAAAACTGCAGTTCCTCAAATGGCCACAGGGGTTTTTCATCCAAAAGCCAGTAAAAAACTAAGTAAGGTCACATAGGCCTGGTCACTAACCTTACTGCTTACGGCTGGGAAAAATGTGAATTCGGGCCAGTTGGTAAGTGTTTGCAGGAGGTTGCTTGCTGTTGCTAGGTGAAATTAGTCACAAAGAAAGATATGCTGCAGCAAAAACCTCCTTGCAATTGCTTTTGTTGCTAGCAGATTGCCCTGACAGTCAGTACTTTGTATTGAACTCTCGCCAACTACTCACTAAGAGGTTGCAAAACTGTGAAGCTTGCAATGCAAACCTTTGGAAACATGATGGCTTCAGCAGTGAGACACAATTTTTATTTTTGTTTGTGGTTTGAGCGTTTGACGTTTCACTACCCTCGTCTGATAGCCTTTTTGCAAAAAAGTGGGCGATCTACTGAAACACTCTTCGATGCACTATCCAAGCCAAGCTTGCTAATGTTACCTGAAAACATTTCCAGACACCTATGTCTCCAGAAAGAGCCCGTTCTCACTCCCGAGGCGTAACATGCCGACGTTTTGTCACATCCCGGGGCGTTCCTGAGGAACGCAAAAGGAGACCTTCGGCGTTCTTATGGTACGCGGCGGGTTATGGGCGAAATCCAGTGCAATGACGCTCCCGCGGTAATAGACGTTCCAGCCCTGTATTCCAGCCCTAAACCTAACCTTATCCCTAGCCCCAACCATAACCTTTTTCCTGAGCTTAACCATGACTTTAATGATGTTAAATAGCGTGTTTCTAAGTGATTTGAAAAAAAAGAGCGAACATGTGTAGATTGAGTCCATACGGTTCTCATATTTCCTCATTTTTCCGAGGTCGTCATTTAGGAACGTGGTGGGTAGCCGAAAACGTAATATGTTGACGATTTGTCACCTAGCGTAAAATGTTACGCTTTGGGAGTGAGAACGTGTTGCCAGAAACTATGATCAAAATGGTGAAACACTTCAAAATCCAGTCCACATACCAATTTATAATGTGTGTCACGATGCATGTCTCTATCTTTTATATACAGTCTAATAGTATGGCCAAGGGTTGTGTTCAGGAAATGACTGTGCTTTGGGTTAAAATGCACTCCTTCACTAATTAATCCTTCACAGGTGGCATACTTGGTCAAAACTGAAGCCTCCCAGCAAGTTTCCTGGTTTGAACCCTGGTGGATTCACTTCTGTGTGCTTTCCATGGATACTCTAGCTTCCTAACACAGTCCAGTGCATGTCAGGTTAGCTGGTGATTCGAAATTGGCCATAAATATGCTCTAGATCAGTGGTTCCCAAACTTTTTTGCTAGGCCCCCCTTTGTTTTACAAGAAAAATGTTCGCATCTTTTTTCACATCACGCTGTGCGCCACGTTATTGTTTACATGAGATGAATTGCAGAATCGCAGTTACTGTTCCTCCATTTAGAAAGGCAGAGGCGTCACGGTGTGATTATTTTAGGTAGTTGTTTTTTCCTGTGTAATAATATTCAACATTGCAATAATTACAATACATTTTTCAAAAAATGTCTCTCTGTGCAAAATGGGTTTAAAAACATAAACAGCTGTGGGATACTGTTTGTCCGTGATTTGAACCGAGGGAACAAATCGTGGCAGGATCAGCCTGATGTTATTTGTATCCCGCTGTAACTTTACTGTATAAAGAGCAAACATCTCCAAAATTTCAGGAGTAGTTAGTCATTACAACAAGTGTTTGTGAACTAAAAATCAAGAATGTGGGATCCTGTTTGTCCGTGATTTGAAGAGCCCAGCGCTGCTCCCGACGAAGGGAAAACCAATTAAGCAGGGGAGACCTACCTTGGCACCATTGTCTAGTCTTTGGCTTAGAATGAAGTCGGTTTGGAAACATATTCAGCGATGCTTCATCTCCTGCTTTGTGTTTGTGTGGGCGCCCCGTGCTAGCAGTGTCCAAGCGCTGTTGTTTTTCTTCCCCTTTTCATACCCCCCCGCCCGCAATGGCTCTGCGCCCCCCAGGGGGCGGGCCCCACACTTTGGGAAGGTCTGCTCTAGATAAAGTAAGTAGAGTAAGATTCTGCATTCAAAAATGAGTCCAAAGGGCTCTCTTACAATAATTTACAGTGAAAAAAGAATCGATGCAGTCCTGGAAGTGTTTCCATAGGAATTCTGGGGGTAAATAACAGTTAAGTGCACTTAATAAAATCTACTTGATCATCTGGAAGTGTGACCACCTCTATAAAAGCAAAAGGTTTTAGCAGTTTACTGATGTGGAGCATTTAGGTGCTGACCATGCAATGCTCAGTGAAATTACAAAGAAAATAAGAGCTACATTCAGACTCTACAGGCCTCAGTTAGTGTGAGAAGTCAACGTGCATTACAGAATAATTAGAAAAATACCGAGTGTTTTTTCTTTTATTTGCTTCATTTCCTTTCCTTTCATTTACAGTACACTGTTACTCACAATAACAGTCAACTCAAGCTACTTTCCAGGCATTGAGTTGACTGTGAACTCCTCGGTACACCAAGCTATCCTAGAGTCAAATGTGAGGCCTTTTGTCGGACAGATAAAGCTTGGCCTAAAAATTGGATCAAGCAACAGAATAATGATGCCAAGCACATCAGTGAATCTACAGTAGAATGCTCCAGTCAGAGTACAGACCTCACCCTGACTGAAATGCTGGGCTTGGCCTTAAGAGAGCTGTGCATAGATGAATTCCTGCAAAATCACAGAACTGAAGCAATTAATGAAGAAGAGTTGATCAAAATTCCTACAAAACAACCTGAGAGGTTGATGAAGTCATACAGAAAATGTTTACTTCAAGGTTATTGCCGGTAAAGGTTGTTCTATGAGCTTAATTTCTCACAGGACTATACAAAAGATGAGTTGGGCATAAGAACCATCTCAGCATTGTTATAAGCAGATGTGTCCTGGCACACCAACAAACACTTTGTGCATATCTCTAAGACAAAAAAAAACGGATTTGGATCCACTGAGAATTACAAGGAGGTTGGTTTCGCTTTATAATAATTTCAAAGAACACACACAAATACCTGTACCCCAACCTGCCTTTGCATTCCTGGTCACTGACACCATCAACAAAAAGCACTGAGCCTCATTACTTTTATGACACATGTATTAATACCTTTTGCTCCCATCATGTCCTGGTCCATCTGAAACCCTCTTGAAATTCATAGCGGAGTGAGCAGGCCATGCATTTTGTACAATACCAGAACAAAACCTAATGGTCACAATAGTGCACACACAAATGGGCAGATGGCAAATAGCAGTGGTTTCCACTTTTCTTCAA